ATGACCCAATCACCTACCTTGAACTATTCTGCGCACTCCAACATTTTAAGAAGAACACCAGCCCCGGACCAGACGGTATTCATTACAAAATGCTTAAGAAGATGCACCCGACTGCAGTTACGGCCCTCCTGGCCTTATACAATAAAATCTGGACCTCCCACTCATTTCCTACGCAATGGCGTACCGCTACTGTCATGGCCTTCCTCAAACCCAATAAACCACCAACAGAGACATCCAGCTATCGCCCCATCGCCTTGACTAGCTGCGTGGGGAAAGTACTGGAGAGAATTGTTAACAACAGGCTTGTGCAATACTTGGAAAACAAAAACTTAATCTCTCCTGTACAGTATGGCTTCCGTCCACTTAGAGGCACCACGGAAGCATTAGTCCGACTTCAAAACCATATAGTACAAAACAAAACTGAAGGAAAACACACCATCTGTGTATTCTTCGATATGCAAAAAGCCTATGACACCACCTGGCGACACGGCATACTTCAGACCATCCACAAGGCTGGGATTAGGGGCAACCTGGCCCTATACATCAGGGAGTTTCTGCGTGAGCGGTCCTTCAGGGTGAGGGTGGGGGGCTCTTTTTCGCCTGTGTGGGTGCAATACCAGGGAGTTCCACAGGGNTCAATGGGGCACTGCAAAAATCCAATGCATCAGAAAAATATAACATCCTGCCAACAATAAGTATAATCTTCCTTCAATATTGTCTCATTATTTTATTGCTCTATGGCAGGCTTAGACCTGTCTCTTATACACATCTAGATGTGTATAAGAGACAGGCAGGGAATCTACCGCCCAGCCCCTGCGCCTAAAATGGATCAGGCTATAAGCCTTGAAGACGGAAGAGACCAAACATCTTTGACGTAGCTGAAGACCTCACCTCCGGCGCGAAATAGATTGCTATCTGAAGCGCTAGTAAATCTTTTACTACTACTACTACTACGTATGAGTCACAGTTTCACCACAGTTCCCCTACACCTCGATCACACATGAAACGACCTTTCTCTTCATTCCACCTGCATGTTAATGCATTCACAATTGAGGCATTTGCTCTCACGCAGAACATTGAGTACTCAAAGTCAGCGCTTTAGCAGCACTTTTCAGAAAGAGTACGGGCATCTCATATGTACACGCGTAGAGCAAGGCTCTCCCACCCCACCCGTCTTTGGTCTCGACATAACGAAAAGTTCATTTCGGTACTCAATGAGAATTTCCTTAAAAAAAGAGTCGTGGAAGCAAATTTTCACTACAAACTCATTCTCGAATCATGCCACCTTCTCAGTTCTTCGTTCAAGCTAACATAATTATTGAATTGTACCCCAGACACATAAAATTTCGTAAAATTAACGATGTGAATCTTCTGCACTTGTGAATAAGATTGTTTGCTTCAACGGGTTATCTTCAAACATACGTCGCATGATGCATGACCAACTTCAGCATTTCACAGCAAAGGCTTCTGTTAGATAGCTTACTTAATCGTGTCTCTCAACTCCATAGCGCATCTTTTTGCTTCTCACATCGATTGGAAATGACCGACTGGCTCTCAGTTCAGTCACAAAACTGGACGACCTTATAAGCTTCAAGACAGCAAAAACCAGCAGATACGTAAAATTTAGGGAAAGGTGCTTTAACTTGCAGTATAAATCACTTAAAAAGTCGAACTGTGTTCTTAGGAAATTACTTTTCGCCGCGGTTATAAAACTCACATGTCAGGTACGCGCACTCGTATTGATCTGATACATAAACTCAAGAAAACAACGGCGAAATTATGCTATTTCTCCTGGAGTTCTCCATGAGTGAAAGGCAAAAAAGGGTTATCAGTTAGATATTAATTATTTATTTCAGGAATTTATAAAATATTTTCGATCTCACGTACGCTCGGCTTATTGATTAAAATGAGAAACGGACACATCATGAGTATGATCCTCATGTCTGATAGCAAATATACTAAAAAGAGAAGATAGAAGCGGCAACGAAATAAATCTCTGGGCATTTTAGCAAACATAGAGCATGTAAAATTCAAAATACAATAACAATCCGGTTAGATTTGGAACGACCAAACAATCAAGTTGCATTAGATTATAACAGCAACGACCAATTGCCATAGTAGTAGCAGTAGTAGGATGGTTTGCTAGCGCTTCAGCCATCAAGCTATTCCACACCGGAGGTCGAAAATCAACATCGCCAGCAAGGGGCGGAATGTCTCAATTGTGAAGCCGCTGAAGCTGGCTCGAAAGAAGCAGCCTTGGCACCTCAAAGAGACGAAGTGACAATGAGGGACAGGTGAAAAGGAGCAGGAAGGAAGACACTCGTAGAGGTCGCTGACACGGGACGTCGGCCATCCGCAGAGCGAGACGGAACAGAGAAATGTTAGGAATCCTACCTACACAATAACTTAACCCCGCAACTGAGACCCGCGGTCAGGCACAGCGAGCTTTGCGGTTGGGCGCTCAGGAATAATGCTCCTAGAAACGTGAAGTCCCGCAAGACTTTTAACGAGCACAGACACGCGCCAGAAGTCCCCATGACGAGGACTGCCATAGAAGTCTACTCACAAAATATAGTCAAGTTGCTTTCGTAGGGTGAAATGCTCATGAGATCTCAGCTCTTGCAATTATATACTTTATAGAGAAACTTGAAATTAAGTGAGAATAAGTGAGCATGAGTAGTGCAGAAAATTTTGTATCGTGTTAGAGATAGTCTCCAACAAATGGTCGGCGAGATAATAACAGGATTCTCAGCTACTAAAATGAAGACTTATGCTTACAACAACGCGTAGCAAACAGGAGGCAGCCTTAAAACCAAGATTTTCACCAACAGAACACCTTTTTCAAACTTGCAGATCGATTTTCACACAGATTCCTATAAAAAATTTACATGACGGCAAAAATAAATGCTGTAAGACTACTTACAGAAGAGATTTGGCACTAAAAAATCCAACTGGATCTTGAATAGAGATGCAAACCTCACGAAATAAAATATACCACCACATTTGTTATACAGAGATTTCTTCCACGACATCTCCATTGAACTACAGCACGAAATTTGGTGACTACGACCTTGCATGTAATCCTTTTTACATCAATTTCTAGACTAAATAGAAACGACATAAACGCATTACGTTAATGTAATATAAATAAGCTCATTCGAATTGCTGCAGCGCTAAAGGCTCCTATTACAATTAATCAGCCCGATTCGTCAATCGGGCTGACACTTGCAAAGCATGCAGTGAATACGACACAGAAATACACAAGGGTATTTCTGTGTCGTGGCAATGTATTATCAGCAGAAGAAACCTAACTAATAACTAGTAACTAACAAAAACTAATAAAATCAGACTCAGAATACAAAACGTAAAACAATCGAGTTAACCGGTGCTTAAAATTGAGGCGAATAACTTTCCAGAAATTGCTAAGTAACGAAAAATATACAATTTAAAACTATCAGGCTAACACAAACCAATATTCACAGTAAATGTACACTAAATTAGTTTAATTCTAATAAATACAAGCATTTAAACAGAAATAATCTATCATCGACTCGTTTCGAGGAGCTAAATTCTTCCTCCCTAAAGACATGAAAAGCCCACTCCAGTTATCCAGACTGACTATCAATATATGTGAAAATTGACACGTGATGCATGAGTCAACTAGGAAGTTAAGAAAGAAGATGACCGCGGAGCATAACTGCTGCACGAGCACATACCAAGATTGAACTGAACGAGATAAACCATTTTGAAGAAATAATAGTAACTCACAGATTGAACACTTCTGTGATAACAATAAATGATAATCTTTTTTTTAATAACATAAAAAATTACTCATGCCAGAAGCAATTTCCGCTTCATCAAACTTCTCTAAGAGGAATGCGGCGCGGAAGAAATTAGCATGGCAACCTCGGTCATTTGAATCATGTACTAACAACTGGACTGCAGCGTGCATATACCCGTATGATGAGTTATCAACCTGAACTTTGTTTTTGTTGTCTCAGCTTATTGACCAAACCACCTCAACCTTTATACATCACAATAAAAAGCAACACGTATGAACATCAGTCGACTTAAATAAATCTTGCAATAAATAAATCTTGTTCACAAAAAAGCCGTTTTAAGAGGTTCATAACTTGTGAAATGCAACAATAAAATGCTGTTTCAAGATGTTCATAAGCATCATAACATAGCAAAAATCTGCTCTGGCAGACAGACATTAAAGTTTCCTAAATACATGGTGATCAATTTTTTTCGCTACAATGTTTTCATCCATTCATCTAATGTAATATAAATTCCGAAACTTTTTAATATTGAATAACTAATCCTGACACAATTTAAATGTTCCAGCATTCGATTCGTGAATTGTGAAGGAAAGTTTCCATCATGCGTTGTTTTTAATGGGGGGCTTTTTCTCAAACTATAATTCACCTTTGGTTACCATAAACTAAAGTTTCATGTTGCAAATACGGTTTTTCAAATCCGTAATAAGTAATTATCACCTAGTTTCCCCTGAATTTACTCAAAATATTTCAAACTAACAATTGATGACTTAAAGCTTCCCAAAAAAATGAATAGTACTTAAATGTGCCTGTCTGAATAAATCGTTTCGGCTGAAATACTATTCATCCGGGTCCAATAACACAGTGCAGTTGAGGAATATGTCAACAAACAATCTGGCGAGTCAAGTCGTTCACTTTTTTTAGAGCTTATTAAAAATGAGGTCCGTTTCCTTGCGAACCGGATACGATTAAAGTTAAGATGAGGATTAACAACATTTAGTACAAGGGTTTGCCGCCTGTTTCATATGCTTACGTGTCCAAGAGCATAAGCAACAAATGTGTTGGAGAAAATCAGACCATCACCGGTCACCGAAGGGCGATCAAAGGTAAATCAAGCAGGAAAATGTTGCAATCCTCATGAGGTAAATAACAAGTCAAAACACTCTACAGTGCAGGATCTTTGCTTATTCAACGTTAGAAACACTTACTTCTTTTTAAAAAAAATCGACGTTCCAGACGCACCATGAACGCATGAAACTTTTAAACAAGATTTTTCAGTGGGTTGTCCGGAGAACACCCCAACACAAGAGCACAAAATTGCAGTCAAGTCAACTCTAGGCACACGTACAGGAAATGAAAGCTATTGCCGTTGTCATCACTAGTAGTAGTTGTAGGTGAGAGATTTCTAATCACTTCAGATCATCTTCGTCAATTTCGCGCCGAAAGCGCAATATTCTGTTTGCAGGGTCAGGTTTCTTCGTTGGTTTTAGGCTCGCAGCCTGATCCATCTGGTCTTGAGCGCATGCTTTTCTATTACTGAGGCGCAGGGTCGATCCAACTTCTGTCGTTTCATCTCAATCAGTAATGGGCTGACACGAATGTGGTGTTTTTTCGAATGTGTGGGTCTTTTCTGCCCGGTATCAAGGTGCCGTGCTAGATATCTGGCAGCAGGTTACACTCAATTAGATATTGTCTAAGGTTGTCAGTTCAAAAGATGCATCGGGGAACTTCCCTCAGCATCCTAGACAGCATTTCATTTGGGCTGAGGGCAGTAGTGCTGGGTTAGTAGTTTTGCCGAGTTTCGTTCTGGCTCGGGCATTCCGCCGTAACATGCAAGACCGTCCGGGGTACCAAACAATCATTGCAATACGGCGTTGGACGGCGTTCGATCAGGTAGCTGTGAGTGAGGCGCGTGTGGCCGATCCTTAGTCTGCACAGCGCTACCTCCATCTTCCGACATTTCTGGTATGATGAATTCCATATTTGTACACAGTCCTTAGTTGTTCTTAGTACAGTCCTCTAACATTCTGCCACTGTTCCTGCCAGATATGGCGGATGCTTGCCTTTGATGATAGGGTAGTGGTCCAGGCAAGGGACCTGCTCACTATGGATCGCCTAATTTAATGAGGCGGCGTCTACCGCCGCCTCGTCCTCCCTCTCGTTGCCTCGCACCCCCACGTGTCCGGGCACCTAGCAGACGCTCACCGCTCTCCCTGCCCCCGCCAGGCGCAGCAGGCCGGTCGGGATGTCCCGGACGATGGGGTGCCTGCTGTTATAAACTCTCAGAGCCTGCACCACACTTTTGAAATCTATAAATATGGTAAAGTCGTCTCTGGGCAATTCATCTATGAGGCTACGGGCACAGCTGACACCGACGAGCTCAGCGGTGTAGATTGATGAGCTTGAACTGAGTCGTCTGACACCGCCGCTGCACATCCCACTGCGCCGTTCGTCTTAGAGCCGTCGGTGTAAATATGTGGTGAGTTTGCATGCTTTGTAGATGCATGGTTGAAAAAGAGGTTTCTCATCTTGGTTGGGTGTGACCGTTGCTTCAGTGGGTAGTTTTGGTCCGGGCAGAATGTGTTGATGGGGATGCGCCATGTAGGGGTATCCTCAAACGTGACTGGTATGACTTCTAGTTTATGAGCCTGCGTTGTTGCAAGCAGTGTTTCATTGTCTTCGGAGTACGTGATAATGACTGGAAAATGTTTGGTCGGTCTTCAGCTATAACGCTGCGCCATGTTGGGATAGAGGTGATTGCTTGAGCTGTATTCGGCGGAGATAGAGTGGAGGTTTGCCGCTCTCTCCATAGAGGCTATGAGTGGGGGATGTTCTAAATGCTCCTGTACATGTCCTGATGGCGGCGTTGTGGACCGGATCGAGTAAAGAAAGGGTTTGTTTTCTTGCGTGTTGCTAGATAATGCATCCGTAGTCCATCTTTGTTCTAATAATGGCTCTATAGAGGCGAAGCATGGGGAGCTAAAATCACTAAAAATTGTTGATACTAAAAATTATTATTCTCTATCCCGCAAGAAAGTGGATAATTGAGGCAATTTGAAGCAAAATGCTGTTGACGATTATTTACAAAAAGTAAGATGAAGAGGCACTAAGATTAGTAATCAATTTAGTTACGATGCAGCGTGTTCACGAGAGCTGTTCTCTTAACAAAGCATTCTCGTTCTTCAGTTGGTTATTTTGCTCTCTGAGCAACTGTAGCTCGTGCTGTTGTCGCTGCTGCTTGCGCACAGTTTCAGTGAGCGTCTCGTTCTCCCGCTGGATCTCCTGGATGTAGTCGCATGCTTTTGCCAGTATGCCTGCTTTGCTCTGCAAAATGACCTCCAATTTATTTCAGGAAAAATTAGAAAACAATTCTAACCTTCAATTCATCACATCCAAGATTGATAACACTGACATCATTGAACTGGTAAAGGCATGAAGAATTCATATTCAAGAACTTTCTACTAGTTTAGGATATACAGTTCAAGTCAAACATCAAAGAAGGCAATCCCTATTAATTTTTCCGGGCCCAATTATTCGTTAACACTGATTTTGATTTTTAGAATGACTCAAATTATGAAATATTGCATAAAAGAAGATGCCAGTAATGTTCAGTAAGAAACACAACTAAATACATGCTTATTTTCATAGTTTTGCATAGCGATATAAATCTTGATTCAGCATAGCAGGCAAGTCTACATCAAGAAACTGACCTCGCTATATATTTCACTCAAGATTTAGCTCCAATTAACGTTTAGGGCTTGTTTGTAAAGTTCGGCACCTAAGCTCACTCACTACCGAGATCACAACAGTAATCATTAAAATTGGTTTAGTGCAAGGAGGTAGCGACTTGTGATCCTCGCACTCACCGTCATCATGTTCACATTTCTCAAATGCGCCTCATTGCAGTTGGGTAAAATCTTGGCCAGTTTGCCTATCCAGTTGTTAATTTTATCCCTGCGTCGTCTTTCGACTTCGTTGTGGACCACCCTTCGCTTATCTTCCCTGGCACGCCCCCTGGAGTTGAGCAGAGAACTGACCGCACTAGCAGAACCTTCATTCTTTGTTGTAGGGGGTCGAGGCAACAGCAAACTGCAGCCATTGCTGCTACCGTTAGTGTTATTAATGCTACTGCTAGTGGCATTGACGCTGTGGTTGACTACACTCAAACTGCCGCCTGAAGATACAGAGACGCTTGATGCAGAAGGCAGACCGGTGATGATTGTAGGAGCAGCATCTCCCACCAGATACAGCTGACCTAAGTGCGAATATTGGAAAATTATTCGCCGTGAAACGAATTCAAGACATCAGCAGCTGGTGCAATTATTGCTTAATGCCGTGCAGTCATTAGCAACATACATGCTGTGAAGATTTTTGCATGTATGGATCTTAATTACGGTATCAAATAATATAGGTAGGAAAATATTTGGATCTTAAACTATGGAACCCTCGGGGATACCCTTGCTTCGCGCACGGACGTGGTAGCCTGAAAATCATCCAGATTTTGTACTTAATGCTCGGCGCTCGCCACAATCTTTTCGTAGCTGACCGCCGTTTACTTCTATGGCCAAAACGACACAGGCGTGCTTTCTTCTTTTTACCTCAAGTTCCGTGCGGCAAGCAGCCTCTACGACAAGCCTCTCTTAGAGGCAAGCAGCCTCTAGACCATCGTTTCTTCTCACTACTCTTTTGTCCCTTTTTGGATGAAGTCTCATGACGACTAATTTTTTATCCCACTTTAGCCATTTCGTATCCTTCTTCTAGAATCTAGAGGCTGGTATTATGTTAGCTGGCTATCATATAAATGCAGAGCATCCATGAAGGAACATCTACCCGCCGCGTCCCGGTACCGTCGAACACGGACCCAACACTCCCCCCCCGGACCCGCTCAGCTATAGACAGGCACCAGCAGATCTCTTGCATCCCTCCTCCAACCCACCCAGCTATGGTCAAAACATCCCTCGAATCAAAAACACCCAACACCAGAGACACAGCCCTGGCATATGTGGCACATCAGCGCCAAAAAAAACATGCCATGCTTTTCTATCGATTCTTGATAAAGAAATTTTAGTTAAAGAATGGATGGCAACAACACCGGTGCTGGGTAATGTGAGCAGTCACCGAGATACAATTTTTCTCACCGCCTGAAGAGAAAATAGTGCCTGGTGAGGCGCTGGACTCGTCTGTTGCTAACAGCAGCTTAGTTTCTGAGGCGTCTGATGCCGTAAGCAGTGCTGGCAGCCCATTTGTTACTCCAGCACCTACAAAAATGGGAAAGTTAATTTCACATTTGAAGCACAAAAAAATGACAGTTAACATAAACCGGATAATTGATGATCTCAACACATTACATGAATCATACTGAACTTCAACATTTTATCTCAAGACCCATAATTCCTTCACAACCCTGCCCACAGAAGTTCCTTGTTTTGACATTTATTGATTACTTGAGTAAATCCTATTTTATTGCTGTGCTGGCATTAAGAAAGCTCCAGGCTGTGCCGGCTAGGCTGGACCTTTAGGGAGTATTAGGACATACTCATGTGAGGCACATTAAAGGGCATATTTCAGTTACTAGCCTTGGGTAGTTGAAACTAAGAAACAATTTTATGGTAGTGATGACAACTAAGTGGCTTCATTCAGTAAAGACAATAAGTTATTCTAGTTAGTCATTGTTATGTTATATGGAGAACAATCTTTTGCGTCTTTGTCCTCCGGCAGCTGCGGGAGGACAAATACATAAGCCGTGCCTGATAGATATTTTAATTTTATTTCCTGTTATGCTGTTTTAATTAATTTTCTTTTGTGCCTCAATATGTGACAACGCCCTATCTTGTGCCATGTTCTTTTCTGTTATTTTTGTTCAATGTTTTTTTTAATTCTCATTTCATTTATTTGTTTTATTTTTTGTTGTTCCAGATCATCACCTTTGATGCTGGGGCATCAACACAACCCTGTAAGTACTGTCAAGAGGCTAAATGTTCCAGTCTCCAGTGATCCTATATAAAGTATAACACAAAGAAAGAATCATACTATACAATTTCTTTAGTTTCCTGTACACACAAATCATAATAAGTTAAAGAAAAAGAGGGACACTGTTGCCTTCAATGCTAATGAAAGTATATACCATAAAACAGATTATGGACCACTGGTGACTTGGTCCATTGATGGGGGTGACTTGGAATTTAACAAAAGAAAACCCTATAACTCAATTAATTCTTGCCTTAGAAAAATTGTGTTTATGGCTCTATAAGATAACCTAGAAATGCAATTTAGATTTATTTATACATTTACTATGACCATTTTCATCACAAAAAGTACCGTACCAGTGCTAAAAATGGTCACCTCATTTTATGGTACTGAAATGTAAGGGCTTTCCTGTCATACAGAAAGTGGAGGAGACAAATGAGTCATGGAACTCACTGGAAGAATGTTGCAGGGTGTGTTGTACTGTAGGCTGAGGTGCCTCCAGGAGAGACTCTGTAGGCAATTGCAGCACTCTGCACATCACTGTACCTGAAATGACAATAAGTTTCATACTAAATATCTTCTAAAGATGAAAGTTTCATGATTACTAACCAAATTTTAATGAAAATCTTTGCATTCACATATATTAAAGAAAGGAAAACTGACCTGCTTCATTTATGTAGATTTATGTTTGTTGTCAATAGGAACCAATTTTTATTTTTCTGTTCAAAAAATATATAATCCTTGCCCTATAAGGATTATATACATGGTTCAAATACATTGCCATCTCTCATTTTAATTTAGGTATACAAATGAATAAAATCATACAAATCTTTTAAATTGGGTGACAATCTAGAAAAAGTTGCTTATTTCAGCTGTATTGGTTGATATTATATAAATTCTTATTGCTGGCTCACCTCCAGTCTCCTGCTTTAGAGTAAATGTTGTTGTTTGTTGGTCTGATAGTCCAAGTAATATTTGTGTTGGGGGCTGTTGTTGTGGTGGGACTCTCATGGTCTTGATGGTTATGCTGCCACCACGAGTAGCACCAACACTGTGCTTACTGGTTGTGTTGGTAGCAGTGGTGGAAGTTGAACCAGTGCAGCTACTCATCATCACTCAGCCCACTGAGCTCTGTAACAAAACAATAATGCCTATAACATTGTAGATAAGAGTGTAACCTTACTTCAAACATTGGAATTTAGCACTGAATAGGCAGAGAATCTGAAACATAAATTGTAGTAGTCACGAAAGACTACCCTCAAATTTTCAAATCATCCAGCATGATAAAACTCAGTCAGGTTATAAAATAAATTACAAAATTTCCATTGCACAGTCCATGATATATATAATAAACAAAAATGCATATAAAAATAGATTCTTTATTTGATTTCAGAAATATATATAAAATATAATTACATAACTTAGGCAATGGCATAACTTACGTAGGTAATGGTAATCTAATTCTTGAAAAGAGTGTTGCAGAATTGTTTGATCAAAACGTTAGTCATATTTTTGACAATAATGCTACATTATTGGCATATTGTGCACTGAATGTTGCACAATTACGGTCTCAGAATGTACTCTGGTCACAGAATCTACATAAGATTAGTATTTGATAATTGCGCGACAGAAAAAAATGGATGCAACTCTGCAACATGCAAATTAGCAAAAGCCTCATTTATGAGACAAAAATGCCTGTAAATGGAACAAGAAATAATATGTGTTTAAAAATTAGGTACTTTTCAAAGACAACACTTCTAAAGAATCCTGTGTCTCTGGTGTTACATACCGTAAACTGGGGTAACTTAGACTCCCGGGGTAACTTAGACCACTTTTCATTTTTTTAACAAAAACCCCCAAAACTCAAAAACGAATTGACATAGAAAAATTCTGTTAATGGGCATTAAAGGCCTAATACTGAGGCTACTCATTTGGGGGAACTTAGACCACCTGGGGGGCAGGACCCCCCATTTGCAAACTATGAAACTTTCCTCAAATTTGTCATTTGCATATGTAACTAGAAGAGTTCTACTACAATGCACCAAAACCTGGAGTTATTTACCAAAAAATATAATTGATTTTACCAAACAGTGTAAGATACCCCCAGAGCTGGGGTAAAAAAGACCATCGATTTTTTTTAAATTACATCAAAACTATGAGAGGCAGGAGCCAGCAATTTATGGTGAGTGAAGCTAGAGTATAGACCTGTATTTTGCATGTTTCAATTTAAGTTTAACTTATCTAGTAAAAAAATGGCATCTTTTAAAAAAAAAGTGGTCTAAGTTACCCCAGTTTACGGTATGTACAATGAATTTCTAATCTTATTATGGAATATTAAAAAATTAATTTTCAAATTTTATTTTTAGAGTTAAAAAAAATTTTTAAATTATTCTGTCAATTGATACCGTACATGCATTGTCTCTGACTTTATGCAAGTATGCAAAATTTCAGATCGATTGGACCGGTAGAAGTGTGTTAAATATTGATTATAAGTTATGTAGAAGACAATTTTTTTTGTTTTTTAATATCAAAAATAAAAGTTTTTAAACTTTCATATTTATTCTGTCAATTGATTCATGCATTGTTTCCAACTTTACACAAGTGTGCAAAATTTCAGATTGATTGGAGAAGTATAAGTGTGTGTCTGATTGCTTAATCCTGTACTATTATTTCATTTTTTATGAAACAGGGTTGCCAGACGATCATTTTTTCCGGGCAAATTCCGTGATTTAGTTTTTCTCAATTGTGTTGGCCGGCTATTATTTATGATAGAGGTAATTCCTAATTAAATTTTAAATACTGCAAAAAAGGAAATAAATGGAATTTTTATGCGGAACCTACAAATAAACTAGTATATATTGAGTTATCGGCCTTTTTGGTTCTTGTTTTTGGCCGATTTTAGGCAACATGAATTATGTACCACTACGTCCTGGAGAAATACATTTTGTGGTACACATATGTACCACTTCCGAGTCAACGTGTTTACCTTATTTATGATAATTCTGGAATTTATGATACTTCACTGGTGAGGGTCTATATAGGACTCATGAACTTGAGAAAGATCTAAAAAATTCTCTGCTTTGCCAACATCAGTCTATCACTATGCCTCAAAAAGTACAAGGGTAAATGCACCATATTTCGACACTGTGGGTAATTCTAACACCCTTCAACTTTTTCCTTTATAACAAGCTTTCTTTTAGTTCCATGCATGCGTAGATGGGTGAAATACTGACATAATACTATTGCGCGCAAGATTTCTGCAAAACACTAGGTCTAGCGGAAAATGTTAAGATCTGCTGAGTGAAAGTCCAAGTCAGCTTAGTGAAAACATCGAAACATGTATGAAAGTTGACAGTTAACCTTGCTTTACTTAATAGTGACAAACTGTTTGTGTAGAAAGAATATTATGGCTTGAGACTTTTAAATAACTCTGTGAATATATTAGGAATCCTTTAAGTATCCCGTCAAATGGGATAAAAAGGGACAGGCGGGGTAAATAGGGATGTGCATCCCACATTTTGTTGAAATGTTGTAGCAGCTAAACTAATCAAAATATTGTAAAACTAAAAATAGTGGCGTAAACTTCAATATTTTTACTATCTATTATGTATAAAGCTAGTCAAGAAATCAAACATTTACTATCTCTAAAAAATTGTTGAAATAAAGTGTGAAAAGTGCAATTTTGGAAAGATACCTCTGCTAAGGTCTGGAGCAAAAAAAATATTCGCCATATTGAAAAATTTTACTTACATAAAAGTTGCACCCAGGTGTTGGCTTGAAAACATAATTGACAGAATTTGCCTATCTCATTCAAAAAAAAAAAATGGCAGCCATTTCCGCGCGCTGGGGTAAAAAGGGATACACCCACCAGGGTGATTAGAGACACCCCCCAGGGTGATTAGGGACACCCTTAAAAATGCATTTACAGTAGAACCTCAGTTAGTAAAGGCTCCAGTTAAAAAAAAATTGATTAACAACAAAGAATTTTGATTACATTTATCTTGTTTGGTGAAAAAAAATTCACTTATCGAAAAATTAGTGCATCATCGGTTGTCACAAAATTGTACATAGAATGCTATGTATAGAATTGTGCACCGGGCATCATAGAATGAAAAGTAATTGACCTAAACTATGATATATATTTTTTCAAAACATATGATGGTTGTCACTAAAACATTTTCTGTTTCAGATATGTTTTTCATGATCTTTTTTGTTATAGTGAAATCACTAGACTCAATTAAAATTGTGCAAAATTACAAACCATCCTGTAAGCTTACAGATACAGAAGAAATGCTACATGGCTGCTGATATGAAGCTTGCAGTGGACAAGGTAGTAAAAATCACAGAAAATGTCATTTATTTTACATCTACATCATCTACAATGAAAGAGGAGGACTTCAGAGTACCGTACTGTTAGTAATAGACGAGTACACTCTGCATGCTTCAAATGTTTGAAATTGAGTTTTATTTCAAGTGTCCCTTTTTACCCCCATTTCAAGATTAATTCCGGAGCCTTTTATATTGCGTCTAGCACCTTACAAATAGCATATGGAATTTTTTTGAAAATGCCATTTGATAGCCCTTGCAAAGAGCTATAAAATGAGCCTAAACTTGTTTCTGAAATGTTTCATGGTAAGACATTATCAACAAAAACCGCTCAAAACCGTCCCTTTTTACCCCATTTGACGGTACTTGTATTTGCTGAGTTTAAGTGGCAAATAAATTAATAGATGATTGATTTAAGAGACGGTTTTAGAAACATAAAAACTAATTCCGACACACAGGGCGTCGTATTCTGACACAGGGTGTCGGAATCACGAATTATGATTTTGAAGCGCTGCTGGAATTAGTCTCACAATATGCCGCATTTAGTCATGCACATTGTCAGAATTCAGTGATTTTGTAGGTTTGAATTCTAAAGGCTTTTAAATAAATTTGGCAACAGTTTGTGATGTTTCATCATTGCTGGAGCATAGTGTGGTGTTTTGAGAGTGACGTAAACCAATCAGAACTCAAGTTGCGCATGCAGTGATCTATTTATAGCCATTTATTTCTTGCCAGGGTAAACACACCATATTCTGACACCTTAAGGATGTAGCAAGAAATAAATGGCTATAAATAGATCACCATATACAAGTATACTTAAAGGATTCCTAATATATTCACCAATTTATTTAAAAGTCTCAAACCATAATATTCTTTCTAAACAAACAGTTTATCACGATTTAGTAAAGCAAGGTCAACTATCAACTTTCATAGGTGTTTCGATATTCTCACTAAGTGACTTGGACTTTTCCTCTGCAGATCTTAACATTTTCCTGCTAGACCTAGTGTTTTGCGGAAATCTGGCACGCGATAGTATGATGTCACTATTTCAACCATCTACGGATGGGTGGAACTAAGACCAAGCTTAATATAATGGAAAAAGTTGAGGGGGTGTCGGAATTACCTACAGTGTCGGAAATGGTGCGTTTACCCTACGTCCTTAAGGAGTCGGAATATGGTATGTTTACCTAACCTATTTTGAATATAGGTTACTCATAACTCATAAGGACTAAGGAGGCTACTAATTTTCATTCAAAGAACACAAACTTAAAATGTTTCTATACTAATAATTTAAGAAACAAGCAAAACACAATAAATTATTTTGTTAATAACTATGATTCTCTGAATTAGAAGCAAAATGACTTTAGATTGTAAATACTCAAATTAATTATTAGCCACTGCAAAGAGCTATAAAATGAGCCTAAACTTGTTTCTGAAATGTTTCATGGTAAGAAGTTATTAACAAAAAACGCTCAAAACCATCCCTTTTTACCCCGTTTGACGGTACTTGTATTTGCTGAGTATAAGTGGCAAATAAATTAATAGACGATTGATTTAAGAGATGGTTTTAGACACATAAAAACTTATTCTGACACACAGGGTGTCGTATTCTGACACAGGGTGTCGGAATTACGAATTACGATTTTAAAGTGCTGTTGGAATTAGTCTCACAATATGGCTCATTTAGTCACACACATTGTCGGAATTCAGCAATTTTGTAGGTTTGAATTCTAAAGGCTTTTAAATAAATATGGCAACAGTTTGTGATGTATCATCATTGCTGGTGCATAGTGTGGTGTTTTGAG